GCCCACCCACCCCCCAAACCAAAATTTTATTGCAGATTCGGGGTCCTCTCGCCGAGCACAGTACGACCCCGCCCTCAAAAGAAAAAATTAAAAAATTCTAGGCTGTTTTTTGGCCCGCCCGGTTTGCCCGGGCGACCTGCCCGGGCCCCGCCCGGCCGGGCGGCGTCCGTACTCAGCTTTTTTTTTTATTTTTCGTTATACAATGAGGCTTGTTTATTACACTCAAGTTCAGCGCACTTTATTTTATCGACTTCTCAGAGTATCTCTGAGTGGGGAAAGCGTAAATCCCACGTAATGGTCTATTGTTCTGGTGTGCATTCTGTTGCATTGTGTAACGCAGTGTTCTGCTGAGTATCCACCTTGAAATTGTATTGTGTGACTTTTGTGTCATCGTTTTCGCAGAATATGGGCCATAAGGCTGCCTTTTATCATGCCAACATGGACCCAGCAGAGAGGGATCGAGTGCAGCAGCAGTGGAGCAGGGATGAGGTCTACATCATCTGTGCAACTATTGCCTTTGGCATGGGTAGGTTCAATGGCACTACAATTTGCTATGTAGTATATAACCCAATTTCATTGTGTTAGAAGCGTTGCGTTGTGTTTTAAATTACAAGAAGCTGCATTTGAGTTTTTTTTTTAACATAGCATCCACCGACTAGATCCTCAAAGTGAAAGGTGGCTTTCATGCAGTGCCACCCTGCAAGGCCCTGGGATCGGATCTGCCGGTTCGCCTTGTGACCTGTGGGGGCTGCCCAGTCCAACGTTTGATGGGCCGTTCTATCAATTGCACTGCACCTTTTGCATTGTGCGTTGTTCCTTATTGTGTTCCCAGGTGCTCTGATTCTTGCTGACTTGTCATTACCTCTCTAGCTCTAGAGAGGTCTGAGAAAAGTCCTAGGGTCAAGGTGTATAGGGTGCAGGGTAAGATGGGGCAACCTGTGGCTCCACATCAGACAGTTGACTCTTGGAAAATCAAGATTCAGGCCCAACCCGGGAAAAGAAGATCAAAAGTCAAAGATTACTCAGCCATCAACCACAGCCATAGATCAGATGCACTGTCAAAGGCTGCCTGCATTTGTTCCAGAAGATGCACATTGAGGCCGACAACAAATCTGGGCCGTTCAGATCGATAAATCTGGGCCGCCACAGGAGACAAGCTGAGGCAAGTCAAGACCGGTCAACACTACAGTGCCGTGCTACTGTGATGTGCTACAGTGATGCTCTGAAGTGACGCGCTATAGTGACGTGCGAAAGGAGGCAGGGAGGAAGGAGAGAACCAACATAGCAAGAGAGAGTGAGGAAGAGGGTGATCAGGACTGTGAGTGGAGAGAGAGAGTAAGCGTGAGAAGTCTACCTTGATTTACCTGGACACTGGTGATACTGGAGCTTCTGCTGGTCACATCAGGAGGTTGAGGAAGGCTGGCACCAACCGCCATAGTCAGCATTGATGCTGGGGGTTGGGTGCCATAGCTGGTACCTGCAGAGCGGCTTCATCTGCGACTTTCAGGGATGGACTTGCATTGCTGAGGTGGCGAGTTGGTTGGGAGGAACCCGGAGGTGAAGAGGGAAGGAAGAGTCAACGCAATTGTATTCTTGATTACTACTGAAGTTACTCTTCCTCGCTCTCTCGTCAGTGACTTTCAGGGAGAGACTTGCATTGCTGAGGTGGCGAGGTTGGTCGGGAGGACCCCGGAGATGACGAGGGAAGGAAGAGTCAACGCAATTGTATTCTTGATTACTGCTGAAATTACTCTTCCTCTCTCTCTCGTCATTGCTACTCTACCTTTGTGTATTTTCCGGTGACTTGCCGCCAATGCTGGAACTGTTTTCAGTGATTCTGGACTTGTTGTCCTACTGTGAGTAGTTCCATTTAACTGCATGGATAGGACTTGCATGATCTGCTGTGAAAGCTTCTTATACTGGACGGGCTCATTACATC